AAAGTTCCATCCCAAGCCCCTCTCCTGGGAGTTGCCTCAGTTCAGACTCCACCCCCAAAAAGCCTGCCAAATGATGACTCCTCCTCAGAGAGACTCAAGACCACTCCCACAGGGTATTGAAACAGCAACCCAGAGAACAAACATGTGGTTTCTGGTCTTCCCTCACGTCTCCTTGCTGGGGGACTGGAAGCCCACTCAGGAGCACTGGCATCTCCTGGACTTTTTCTAATTCGATTTGATTTGGTATGATCTGGATTATTGCATCGTCAGCAGAGAGGTTTATCGGGCTGTAAAATTTTTCATGAACTACATCCCCCTCCTTGATAGTCTTATTTAGAAAACTGCCTAATCATTTACTCACGGGTCCTTAAGAAGGGTTTATCAGTAGGTTTTCATGGTATTGCTACCTTCTGCGATTGCCACTTGACACACAGCTATTTGACTTTGGGCTCCCGCTTGACAGATGAGTGGGACACTCCTTAACCCTCCAAACTTAGTTAAGCAACCCAGAGACCTTAATCCCAAGGAGTATGATGGCGGTTAGGGACTGTCTACTGTGGTGTGGGATTCTGATCATTGAGTTTGCCATTGTTGGTGCTTTTGCCATGAGTTGCCTCATGGGGGGGGGGTCTTTGAAGTTTAGTGCCACCCAACCTCACAGACATTTGATGAATGTTCTGTCGTGAGAAGAATAATGACACCCATTAGGTGCTGGTGATCCTGTTTCTTCTGGACTGGGCTTATTTTATTTGGGATTATAGCGTTAAGAGTTAAAGCTTTAGTGACTGGATTATTTTACAATTACAGCTACCTCCCCTGGGTGAACAGCTGTTTCCAGAAGTAATGTCCTGTACATTACTGCATGGCATGTATTAGTGAATTTTCTTGGAGCACTTAAACACACAAACCATCTTGATACTTGGTCTCTCCCTCAGCCACTGGAGCCCCTCTCAGAGATTTCAGGACGACCTTTCGGAGGTGTTGCCTCTACAATCTTGAGGTTATTTCATGACCTCATTTATATTATAAAATACCCGAAATTCCTCCTCATAAGAAGAGAAAACATCTCACAGACTTCAGGCTTTCTAGAACATTTTCTCAAGGATATTGCATGGAACACAGTCATGTATTTTCCTTTCAATTTAGGACATTAGCCTAAAGGGAACTTTTGTTGTGTGTTCTGCATTGTTCTCCAGACAGGAGAGATCTTAGGAGGTTTTTTTTTCCCTCTTTTTCTTTCTTCTTTGTGGCTCTCACAACATGCATCTCGAGCCTACCCATCTTCCCCTTCCTCTCCCATCCACCCTTTGCCCCTAAACCCCTCCCAAATAAAACGAAGTAAACGTTAAAAGAATAAAGATAAAGAAAAATCTCGCCATAGAAAGCTGTAGTGTGACGCAGTGAATTGCACAGTATACACGTTAGTCTGTGTATCTTTACTTGCAAGTGCTCATTGCTCTGAGTCATTGGTCTGGTTTGAGGCCTCTGGATTCTGCTACACCATCGATGCTGGGCCCTCACTGAGACTCCTCTTGGATATCCCGTTGTTGTCCTGTGTCGTGGTGATTCTGCAGTTTTGGGTCTGCAGGACCGGCCCCTTCACATGCTCCAGCAGATCATAGATGTGGTGGATGTTGGGGTGGCCAACTCATAGCCCTGGTTCTGGCAGCCCACCAGCTCTGTCCTCACTACCAGTCCTTACCACCAGGGTAAACTCTCCAGCACTGCCTAGGCTGGAGCAGCAAGCAGGAAGGGGTGGGGCCAGTTCTCCTGCTTTCAGTGCCCTCAGGGTCAGTTCACCCACACCTACACCTCCAGGGCCAGTTCTACTGGGTTGCAGGGGTCGCTCTCCTGAGGGCTGCAGCTGGAAATGGGTAGAACCAACTCCCGCCAGCTCCCTGACCTGCCACAGGTGGTGAGGGCTGAGGGTTGGGGAGAGAGCAATCTTTTCATATGAAAGATGAGGGGTGGGGCCAGATCTCCCATGCTTACAGTCTCTGGCAATATCTGCCTCCATCAACAGGGTCAGCTCTGCTGTGCTGCCTCGGTGAGGGGCAGGGCCTGCTGTGGCCGCTGAGGGCAAGGCCAGCTCTCTTGCACTCTTATGACTCAGGGACCAGCATTTCCACCAAGTGAAGGCAAGGGGTGAGGGGTAAAAGGGGAGGGGGAATCTCTTCCTCACCCACACCAACTCATGACAGATGAGTAGTGGGGCCAGTTCCCCCTCACTCACACCCTTGGGGCTGGCTCACCTTCACCCCATTAACAGGGTAGCTCTACTGTTGTGCCCAGGCGAGGCTCAGGGCCTGCTCTCCAGAGGGCTGCAATTGTGAGGGGTTGAGGCATTTCATTAAAATGGACTTTCCTCAAATCTATCCATTTAACAATCTCTTATTTCATTTACTGTTGAACTCTAGGAGTTTATTATGGTCCCAAAGGCTGTCAAACCATCTGCTCATTTATTCAAGCATTAGTTCAATCAACAAACATTACTGAGTACCTACTGCAGAGGAGATCCTATTGTGGGGCCAGCCATGATAAGCTAAGTCTGGGCAGGCCACCCAAAGGAAGACCCAACCATTATCACCTGCCAGAGTAGAACACAGCCCTCGGTAATTTAATAAGAGGCCTGAGTCTCAGTAGTTTACCCTGAAGCGATACCTGGTAGCAGGAAAAAAACACAAGCTGAGATTACCTGAGTACCACCCAAGAGCAGACCATCCAGAGGAGATGCCTAACTTTCCAACTGCTATAGATAGGATCACCTGCCAGCGCACCTCACCAGGACACCCCTAGACAAATGTCAGCCAATCAGGGTCCTAAACCTCAGAAACCCCTCACCCCCACCTTTACTACTATAAAAACCCAATTCTAACTGAGCTCGGGGCTCTCGGGTTGTTCCAATACATTGGACATGCGGAGAGACTGAGTTTGCAAACTTGATTAAAATAAAGGCTCTTTGCTTTTACGTGTGGGACTCGGTTTCCTTGTTGTCCTTTAGGGGATTTCATGGATTTGGGCATAACACTATTGGGTATTAAGCAATTAACAGGACAGCTAGCTCCCCGTTATTTCAGGAGAAGAGCTAATTGGCTCCAAATCTCAAAAGGATAAAGCTTCAGGAACTCTGGTCTATTGGATGCCTCGGGATAATACCACGTGCAACACAACCATGTACAAAATAAAGAGTCCCTCATTCTCATCTGCTCACTGTGGTTACTCCTAAGCTGATCAGTCACGTCTGGTTTTATGAGAATCAGTATGCTAAGACTCACTTTTAATTCCTCTCCCCCACCAGGCTATTAGTCACCCTTGCTCTTTAACCTTATCACCTAAATATTTTTCACCTCCCCCACCCCTGTCAGTTAAATCATCTTTGTTAGTGTAGACATCACTTAGTTTCCAATGACCTCCTAAACAGATTCCCTGATTTGAGTCTTACGAATACTTATAACTCACCCTCCTTAAAGCACCTTTCTAAGCCGGAAGTTCAATTACATTTCTTCCATTGCCTGCAAAACCCAGTGGCCTTCCCCAGTCCAATTGAATCTGGTTTACCAAGCTTACCCAGCTTCTCCTAATCTGCTTCGAAGGACACAAGGAAACGAGATCAGTGAAACCAAACAGAAAGCTTGCTGTTTCCTGCCGAAGCTGTCTGTATTTAGAAAACACAGCTCAGCACGTGCATACTTCTCTGTGCCTATCTATTTCCTCCACATAATTTCACGGATAAACTCCCAAGTTCAGAAATGGAAGTGAGCCGGGCAGTGGTGGTGCACACCTTTAATCCCAATTAAATTTAGGCAGAGGTAAGGCGGATCTCTGTGAGTTCGAGGCCAGCCTGGTCTACAAGATCTATTTCTAGGACTGGCTTCAAAACTACGGAGAAACCCTGTCTAAAAAAAAAAAAAAAAAAAAAAAAAAAAAGGAAGCGAACAAGAAATATGCTTTTATTACACCGAGATTTAAAATGGGCTATTCTTTGGTCTATAAGTGGAAAAATCCCAATTAAATGAGTGGTCCTCCTGCCTTACTTGTTGGTAATGGTTAAATACTGGGGGTGGGAGCTTGGTAGTACTTAGTTTTGAAAATATAGGCTCCTTCCTTCAGATTTTGGGAGCCTGTCTTGTTTGCAGGCATCTCTGTCATTTTGCTTTTACAAAGCCGCACTAGACACAGAAAGTCCTTCTATTGTTTTCTATGCCTTCTCCACAATCCAGAATCGTTCCCTGCCTGTTTCAGACCACCTGGAAAGCAGCCCTAGTCAGGGCATTCCTTTTCTCTTACAAATCTTCTTAATGGTTCACCTCAGAAGCACTTCCTAATTTGCAAAATTTAGTCATAAATTAATTCAGGTTTTTAATTGGTTTAGCTTTTTAATGGGTTCAGCCAACAGGGCAAGCCAAAGACTTTCGAATTCTTTGTTAAATAACGGCTTGTTTATATACCCATGAGGTGTTTTTATTATTTTGAAAATACTGTCTTTCTGTGTAATCCACTTGGCTCTGCCCTTGAGAGCTGGGATTACAAGTGAGAGCCCTTAGACTCGGTTTACAGGAGAATTTTAGAATATCAGTGGTGTGCATGAGGCGGGACTCTGTTCAACCTCTTTACCTCTAAATAGAATTACTTTCCCCGCTGTTCTGTCCTGAGGCTTTGCCTCTTTTTATTTTTTTTTATTATTATTTTTTTTTTGGTCTGGCTCTGTCCCTCCAGACTCAGCGGGTTCCAGCTTGGCAGGCACTGCGAAGCTATCTTTCTTTCTCTAGTAAGGACGTACTAGGGTCTACAGGTCCTGCCCTTCCCTTCCTCCCGGCTCTCTTCTATGGGTCCCACCTCTTCCACCTCTTGGTCGCCACTTGTTGCCTGGCTTTTTTCCTCTTCGCAGGTGTCCAATAGCAAGACTTCACTTCGGCTCCTTACGCTATCTCCTATCCCCACCCCCATCCGTCCCCATGCTCGCGAGAATAAGTTTGCCCTCCTTGCTTCCCGTACAGTCGTCAACCCGCCGCTTCCGTCGCGGCACTCATTACCTTTTCTGTGCGCCGGAAGGAAGCTCTACGAGCGCTTTTGGAATTATGGCGGCGGTGGATGTTCGAGGTAATTTATTCTACTGGGGCTTTATAGCTCGCCGAGGTCAGCTTCACACCCTTTTATGAGGTCTCACAAGTCCTTTTGAGTGGCTTCTGGACAACGTAAAGCTCTAATTTGACGAAAAGTTGTCTAGTTTTTTCCGTATTATAAAGAGTCTCTTGAAAAGAGTCGAAACGGAAGCGTTAGAAGCAGTTTTGGCCTTATCTACCACAATGCTGGGGCGTTATATCGGGATGAAGGGGTAGCTTTTGGGAAAGAGAGAAGTTGAATAAGGTAAGGACTGATCCTATCCCACGGATCCCCGGACAGAAATCCCCAAGTCTTCGCATTAATGTTTGAATTTTTAGACTATAATACTATTCATTTATCATTAAGTAGTTATCTTCGGTAGGCTGTAGCGGTATTGTCATTTTTGTTGAGTCAGAGAATAAGTAAATTGAGATGCAACATCTTCATTGCTTCTTGTTCTCGGGTAGCATGTTTGTTTTGTTCGTATATATTTCGTTTTTTTCTTGACAATTTTATACATTCATATAATGCATTTTGATCATATATACCGCCCATTACCCTCTTTTATCCTCTCCAATCCTGCTTCCCAACAAGCAAATTCACTACCTACTTCCATGGTGTGTTTATTGAGTTTAATTAATTAGAGTTACTGGAATCAGCATGTTTCTTTTTCTTTTTTCTTTTTTCTTTTTCTTTTGGTTTTTCGAGACAGGGTTTCACTGTGGCTTTGGAGCCTGTCCTGGAACTAGCTCTTGTAGACCAGTCTGGCCTCTAACTCACAGAGATTTGCTGCCTCTGCCTCCCGAGTGCTGGGATTAAAGGCGTGCGCCACCACTGCCCGGTATGTTTCATTTTGAGATATCTGTTGCTCAGGTTCCAACTAGCTTATGTGTAGTTACTTAAGTAGTGGTTATCAGTATTTCTGGACCACATTTTTACCTGTTTGTCTTCTATTGTGAAGAATTTCAAGTTTCTAAGTTTAACAGTTGAATATTGCTGAGTGCTAAGCTGGCAGCTGTTCACCACGCTATCTTGCTAATAAATGAAAGGAGAAAAATGTAGTCTATGAGTCCATATTTGATTTTTTAGCATTTTTAATGTTTTATTTATTATTTGGATTTGTTAGCATCATTATGATATGTTTGATGTTTACCGGAAAGGCAGAAAAACTGTGAAGATAAATTAGAGAAGTATTGTAGGGTAGGGTAAGGTTTATCTCCTCTGAGTAAGACAACCGCTGCAGAGTTTTGATCAAATGGGGATGGCATGTTCTATCTGTCTTTCTTTTAATTTATGTATTTATTTATTAGATCATTTTCTCTGCGGAGAATAGTGTAGGGGGGCAAGGGTAGAGTTTAAAAAACTTTAAAAGACTTTCCTGGAATGGATTAAAATTGCAGATAGGGGCTGGAGAGATGGCTCAGAGGTTAAGAGCATTGTCTGTTCTTCCAAAGGTACTGAGTTCAATTCCCAGCAACCACATGGGATGCTCACAACCATCTGTAATGAGGTCTGGTGCCCTCTTCTGGCCTGCAGGCATACACAGACAGAATATTATATACATAATAAATAAATAAATAAATAATTAAAAAAAAAATAAAATTGCAGATAGTTTGGAAAACTACATTTGTGAGAAGTGACTGAATATGTTTGATTTGGTAGTAGTTATATTTATTAAGTTGTGATCACAGGTTATCTTGACGTGGGACAAATACATTTTTTTCCAGTCAGAGACTGTACTTTTCATTCCAGTTAAGTACTTTGTAGGTGAATGCCCTTGGATACAGGAGGCTGTTTAAACTGATTGATAAAAATCTGTGATTAACTGTGCTGCTTTGAAGGTTTCTTGTAGTCTACAAACCCCCTACTTTTCTATACATAACGTGTATGAACGCATCCAATTTTGGCAATAGGATTCCAGACATTCATAGACTCCCAAAGCATTCATGGACCTGAAGGTATAAACTGTCGATCCATCCACAGAACAGTGTTCCAAGATTCAGTCTCCTAAGACAGCTGCTGATGGAAAGCAGAGCAGGGGGTACACAACAGCAACAACAAAAATATTGATTAATAGAGTAAATCATACTTGTGTTGACCTTTAGTCATGAATTGTAAGCATTTGATGAGTAGTTTCCTGATGAATAAAAACTTACAACTTAGCGGGAGCACATTTCTGAGTTTCTGGTTATGATAGGAGAATTAGTAATAACAGTGTATTAAAATTGCCGTGAGAGCAGAGAAAAGATCACCACTACCACTGTCATAGTTAACATTTATTGGCATTTAACACATAATGTTGTACGTGTAATTAAAGATCTTACCTATTGACTGTTAATAGATATGGATATGAAATGGTTTTGCCTGGTAAATGTTATAAAGATAAGGCATAAGAAAGATTTTTAAGGGAAAAAAGTCAATTTCCTAAAGTAGCTAAGAGAAATGGATTTTTTTTAATTAATTTATTTATTATGTATACAATATTCTGTTTGTGTGTGTGCCTGCAGGCCGGAAGAGGGCACCAGACCCCATTACAGATGGTTGTGAGCCACCATGTGGTTGCTGGGAATTGAACTCAGGACCTTTGGAAGAGCAGGCAATGCTCTTAACCTCTGAGCCATCTCTCCAGCCCCGAGAAATGGATGTTTTACAGTAAATAAAATTGTTAGTAGAACTAGAGAATTAAAATCTTAGTCATGGTTTGTTTTTCCTTTGTTGCTTTTCATTAGAAGAGATATCTTTTTCTGAAAACATTTTCTGTTTTTGTATATTTTGGCTATGACTTTATATATTTATATATTTTTATATACACATGTGTATGTAACATATATATGTGTGTATATTTCTATCTTTATCCAGATAGATATAGATGGTTGGTATAATCTTTGTTAGCATACATCATCTGTTTGTCTCCTTTATTTTAGAACACATAAAGCACAATTTATTCTTTTTCTAACTTTTTTACATGTCACAACTTTTTTACATTTGATTCATTTTGCACAGAATTACTTGTCACCTTAAGTTAGATTGACTTCTTCAGAGATGCCCAGGGTAGCTGTATAGAAGAGGTGAAGCTTTTCAACCAGTATTATATAAGCATTATGATGTTTATAACTTAACTCTAGTGATGTTTTGTAGGCACTGATATGAAACAGCATCATCATAGTCAGTGCACAATAAAACTCATTAAATTAACTCAAAACTCAAAAATTAACTCACTGTGTCTTTTGAGACAGCATCATATAGCCCAAGCTGGTCTCAATCTCTTGATCCTCCTGTCTTAGCTTCCTAGAGTGCTATGACCTGAAGTCTTCATCACTGTTTCTGGATCTAACCATGTCTTTTTAAAAACTAAGATTTAATTCTACTCTGAATCTGAAACATTATGGCTATGAAAAGGGGATTTTATTCACCATTTGCCCCTTAACTTTTAAATCTTTCACCTCTTGTATATCGTAGAAGTTCCCTAACATTGTTTGCTTGCCAATGGAAGGATCTTTAAACTGGTGGTTGTGGGTATGTTTGGAAAATTTTGAGTCATTTAAGACCTTTGGAGATTTCTAGTCTTAACATCTAGATCTTAACATTTTGTTACCCAATCAAACTATTCAAAATCAAAATATATAAACAATATATTTTATCTTTTTGTACTTTGTGTGAGTTTTCTCTGCTGGGACATAGTTTACCCTCCATTTCTTGATGGTGAGCCTCTCTTCTTTAACACAATGCAGAAGCCACCTCCTGCCCCATGAAAACATAATTTTCATTTCCTCTGGAAAGTGTTTTTGTTCCTTCATTTGTCTTTTTACAATTAGTCTATCCCTAATATCCTATAGTCTATCCCTATAGTCCTTACTGTGTTCTTTTTTTATATTTCTGTCTTCTGTTAGACCGTTGAGTACATAGACCTGGGCTGGAGAGATGGCTCACCTATTAAAGGCTAGGCTCACAGCCAAAACTATGAGTACACAGGGCAGAGTCTATGTCATTAATTCATAACACATAGTAGATATTCATTGAATTAGGTTATTTATCGTTTCTAATTCTTTTGTTTCTTTCCTGTAGATAACCTGCTGGGAATCTCTTGGGTTGACAGCTCTTGGATCCCCATTTTGAACAGTGGTAGTGTTCTAGATTACTTTTCAGAAAGAAGCAATCCTTTTTATGACAGGACATGTAATAATGAAGTGGTCAAGATGCAGAGGCTAACATTAGAACACTTGAAGTAAGTTGTTTTAAGAAGGTAACATCTTTACCAACAAGAGATTTTGCAGTGAGTGGTCATTTTATCTGTGTGTGGTGATTGGTGATATACACTGTTACATCTTTGAAATGAAAACCAAAAGTTGTAGACTGGGGAGATGGCTCAGTGGTTTTATAAAGTTTAGTTTCTATATTTTAAATAACTCTTGCTATAACCTAATTATAGGTTTAAAGGTAACTTATTGTAGTTTTAAGCATATTGTTACTAAACCAAATTTAAATTCATGATTTTTTTTATGGATTTTATAAATGTATAAATTTGTATAAAAACCCACATTTTAATTTATATACCAACTGTTTTAGACGGAGGCTGCTCTTATGTTCCTGGCCTCATAGATCCGAATAATCACACAGAAACTATATTAATTACAACACTGTTTGGCCTATTATCTCAAACTTTTTATTAACTAACTCTTACATCTTAAATTAGCCCATTTCTATTAATCTGTATCTCCACAAGATTGCGACCTACTAGTAAGGTAAGGTTCTGGTGGGTGTCTTTCTCCTTGACTCCGCCTACTTTCTCTATATATCTCTGTTCGGATTTCCTGCCTGACTTTATTCTAATCTGCTATATGCCGAAGCAGCTTCTTTATTAACCAGTGGTAATAAAACATATTTATAACATACAGAGGGGAATCCCACATCAAACTGCCTAGGAAAATAGCTGGTTTTATTCAATAGCCAACTATTACATAAGCAATTTTAGTCCCCTTTTTACACTGCTGTTGCAATTTATTTGGTAATTTAAGTGTCCTACAAAGTTTTAGGAATCATTCATAGATCTCTTTGTGTCTCCATTTCAGTCAGATGGTTGGAGTTGAATACATCCTTTTACATGCTCAAGAGCCCATTCTTTTCATCATTCGGAAGCAACAGCGGCAGTCCCCTGCTCAAGGTACAAGACACTACAGTTTGTTTACTTTCTGACCTGTGTGCTTTATTTTTTTTTTAAAGAAGGGGTTTATTTTATTTTGGTGTATCATTCAGGAACTGGTATGTTAGGCCTTTGTTTGTTTGTTTTTTGCACTGAGTTCTGTTTCTGTAGGTCCCATAAATTACATATATATCCAGTACTTGTAGGGGTGTACTCATCAGACTCAGCATCTATTATACTCATGGCCAGAATTCATTATGGTTGCCTGGTAAGGCTACACAGTAGATAAACCACAGGAAAAGACTTTGTAGGAATCAATATCTCCTGAGGTTCCATATCAAATTTGCTTTTTAGTCAGCATAAGATGATGCTATACATACATATATATGTACACACACACACATACATACATACATTTTTCTATTACAGGAAGCCATTTGAAATTGTGAGCCAAAGACTTTTTTTGAGGACTGGTCACTTAGGCATTTTCTGCTCACTAGAATTGGAGACTCCTAGTAGGAAACAGTTTCTCACAATATTCATGGTATGCATTTTGGTTGGGCATGCAGGTGTAGCTGCAATTAAAAAGTATATCAAAAGCTCTATTAGCACTGGAAGTCAGATAGTTCAGCTCTTCCTGTGAGCACGGTTGTTGAGTTCCCACTGGGCCTTGAACCTCCTAAATAACTTTCATTTCCTCTCAGTCTCTGAGTTAATACTGTATAAAAGACATGGTCTATATAATTTTATTAAATCCATAGAGGATCTACTGAGTATCTTCAAATGACACATTCAACCAAAAATCTTACCTGGGTTTTACTACCAAATGAATATTTGCTTAGGAAACAACATTGAAGAGTAAATGTGTCCAGATTTGCTTTTTAATCAGAGCTGAGGCATATACTTTAGTGATGACGGGCACTTCAAGATTTTTCAAAGGGTGTCATTGAAGAAAAGATTATTCAAAGTAGAAAAGCAAGGTGGTATTGCTGAGAGACATCTCCCAAGTAGATCTTGTACATAAAGACACTTAGGGGACATCCTTTTCCTGGGTCCTTTTGATATCAGAGAGTAACTTGCCAAAGAAGTTACAGTTCAGAATTCAAGTCTTACTTCCAAATGGAAATTAAAGAGTCTCTATAGAGAAAAACAGAACCGTAGATAATAATCAAGGCTCCTTGAGAACATTCAGGATATAGTAATGACACAAGATGGTATCAAGCTCAGTAGAGTTGTCTGTGTCCTTAGGACTCAGTCCTGGGACTCAGAGGCAAGTGTGTGCATCAGATATCTTCACTCTGGTCTCTAAGTCTCTCGTGTTCTTCAGTCTTATGTCTTAGTTTGGTTGACTGACAGCATTGGCTTTGCTGAAATGTGCTATGTATCTATACACAGACCTAGTAAGAATTTCATTTTAATAATCTTAAGATGCATTGGACTGATTAAGCTTGATTCAGATGTGCCTGGGAATTGAGAAGTCCTGTATGTTTTCTGTGAAGGGCAGAGAGCAAACTCTTTAGGCTTTGTGGGTGGAACTGCATGGAACTACTCAACTGTTAACAATCCTAGGTAACATATAAATGAACAGTATGACTGTTTTCTCATACTGCTTACTTGGAGAGAAATTGCAAGGTCTTCTCTTAAAGTTCCATATAGTAAAATGCCAAAGTTTAGTTTGTTCTATGAAAATATCATTTTTTAGCAGTTTGTGTCCAACATGTGTTTATAAGCATTTTTTTCCTGCTGCTTTAGTTATCCCACTGGCTGATTACTATATCATTGCTGGAGTCATCTATCAGGCACCAGACTTGGGATCAGTTATAAACTCCAGAGTGGTACGTGTCTTCACCTACCTACACATCTATCTGCCTACCTGCCTTCCTGCCTTCCTGCCTATTCTCCCTTCCTCCCTTGCTCCCTCACCCTTTCCTTTGCCTTGCTTCCTTTTCTTCTTCCCTTCCCTTCCTTTCTCCTCCCTCCCCTCCCCCTCCTTCCTCCTCCCTTCCTTTACCTTCCTTTTTTTTCCTTTTCTTTCTCTTTCCTTCCTTTCCCATATTTTATCTTTTTCTTTAAGACAGTAGCCTTGGACTCATTATGTGTCCAAAGATGGCCTTAAACCCCTGGTCCTACTGCCTCCATTTTTCAAGTCCTAAGATTCCAGATGTGTGCCTATACATGTAGGGTTTTTTTTTTTCTACATTCTTTGAACATGAATGCAAACTTCTAAATGAGATACTCTATTCTGAGACTCAAGTAGGAGCTCTTCTGTTTTGTGTAAGCTGGTATAAAATGTTGACTGTTAGAGGGTTTTGAGCACTTACTCTGGGTCAAGTCAATGCTAATACATAGAGTCCGAAGAGCCGTAGGCTCCACATCATTAGTAATATGCATAAAAACACTTGGGAAGAAAACTGCACCTCTGCTATATTTTTGTTGCCTTTTTTATTATTCCCTAAACAATACATTGTAACAGCTGTCTGTACAGTACTTACGTTAGGTCTTGTAAGTAATCTAGAGATGAATTAAAGACTATTGGAGAATTCATAGTTTACGTAGAAATGCTAATTGTTTTATATAAGAGATATGGCTATTTATAACTTCAGTCAAATGGTAATATAGATTCTGAAAACAGAATTATTATCTTTGCATATGTAATATTTTATATTTACTTAGGACATTTTTAGAATTTGTTGGTTGTTGTTTTGTTTTCCAAGCTTACCGCAGTACATGGTATTCAGTCAGCTTTTGATGAAGCTATGTCATACTGTCGCTATCATCCTTCCAAAGGGTATTGGTGGCACTTCAAAGATCATGAAGAGCAAGGTAAGTAGAGTGCCTAGGCCCGCCCAAAACAGTTTGTGACGACTTTACTCAGATAGGTTTTAATCTCTCAGATAATGGCATTACTACCCTTGTGTTCATGCCATAGGTGCAGTGATAGTGACATCAGAACAGTTATTAGTTTTGCCCATGAGGTCACTAAGCTTTGTAAAGAAGATGTAAAATTTTCAGTTATTTGGCACATAAAGAGGAGAAACTGGTGATGAGTGAGCAAAGGTGTTTTTTACTTCTTGGGATGCCTTGGAATTTGGAACCGTTCAGCCCTCTAGTCTTCAAAGTCAGGAGATGAGGTATTATTCTTGGTGCCCTTTCTTCAGATGGCCAGACTGTGCTCTCTCCTTTTCTCCCCCTCCCTTCTTTTTCCTTTTTTCCCTCTCCTGTTGTTTTAAGGATTCAGTCCAGGGCCTTAGGCATGCTAGGCAAGCACTTCCTGCCAAGTTATATCCCTGTTTGATCAGGTTGTTTGCTGACTGTCTTTTGACATTGTGTGTATGTGTGTGTGTAAGTAAGTGTGATGTGCATGTAAGCTTGTGTTCCATGTGTGGATATTGGACAACTCTGTAGTTGGTTTTCTGTATCCACCTGTGGTGATATTGTTTTTGATCTAACAAATAAAGCTTGCCTGAAGATCAGAGTGCAGAGCTAAGCTGTAGGTGTAATTAACAAGGTCCTCGAGAGCCCGTAATAAAGGATAACAAATGTTTATTAGGGAACACTCAAAATAAGAAAGACGATATGGTCCTCTGCTCTCTGGATGCTGGGAGCTGTGAACAGATCACCAGCTGAGAGAGAGAGAGAGAGAGAGAGAGAGAGAGACAACATACTTTTTGCTTTCCGTCTGTGTTTATAGTACCTCAGCCCACACCCTAGTGGGCCAGTACCCAAATAGCTATTGGCTAAATGAATTCCCACGACACTAAATCACTAGTTTAGCCATAGAGTCTAGGCAGTGGTGGCACACACCTTTAATTCCAGCACTTGGGAGGCAGAGGTAGACAGATCTCTGAATTCAGAGCCACCCTGGACTACACTAGATTGATCCAGTTTCAAAGAGAAACAGAGCTCATACGTTTTTATCCCAGTACTTTGGATCATAGGCCTTTAATCTCAGCACTAGGGAGATGGAGACAGAAGTGATACGGCTGGGCAGAGAGAAATATAAGGCAGGAGGAGGTATGGGGAGACAGGAGCTCAGAGCATTCAGTCTGAGGTTTCGTAGAGACAGCATTCCGTCTGAGAATTCCTAGGGACAGGATCACCTATTCAGTCTGAGGATTTGGTAGAGGTAAGAACTAGTGGCTGCTGCTCTCCTTCTCTGATCTTTCAGCATTAACCCCTATATCTGACTCTGGATTTTTATTATTAATACCAATTAAAATTCACACTAGATCTACCTTTAATGTGTGTTCTGGGATTAAACTCAGGTCTCCAGGCTTGTATGGCCAGTGCCTTGTCCACTGTACCTCTCACTGACTTTAGGTGACTTTCTGATTCTCTGATGTTAGCACCTGTCATAACCCTAGGTTCTTTAGTTCTCATGGATACTAATCAATGACTGTTCTTTTGCCCTGTTTTTACCAAAATCCTATGCCCAGAAATGTGTTTATATCAGTTTATTTTCTTTTTTTGAGAACAATAAAGTGTAGGAAAGATGGCCTTTATGTAGTATTCAGAGCTGTGTAGTGGCCTTTCAGATAAAGTTACTTTGATTCTTAATATTGGGTACAGGCAGTACTGTTTGTTGTAGGAAAGTGTGCCTTAGTGGAGTAAAGTTGACCCAGGGGCAATTGTACCCACCTTATGATGTCTAAAGCATGGTCACTTGGAATCCACCCCTTACCCTGTTCTCTGCCAGAGCAGATCACACATGTAACTTCAGAATTTCTTTCATATTCTTTTTTATGCTTGCCTTTGTGATCTTGTTTTATAATTTTCCCTTTCAGTACAATGTTTAGCCTTTTTCATAGAGAGAATGGGAATGAATAAATGAATGTGTTTTAGAAAATCTCTCCATATGGAGCCCAAGCTATCCTTGAACCCTTAATTCTCCTGGCTTCGTCCTCCCAAGTGCTAAGATGAACAGAGATATGGATCACCATCCCTAGCTAATTGCAGTCTTTTGAGGCAGATCTTGTGTAGTCTAGACAGGTCAACCTTGAGCTTGTTATATATATATATAGCTAAGGATGACCTTTAACTCACAATTCTCTTGCCTGGTTTAATTACTGTCTTTATAACAGAGCATAGTAACTAAAACCTGTCTTTTCTATTTGTCCTTAGTAGATTGTACAGCAAATCATTCAGTACACTTAAAATACTCAAAAGTAATTTCAAGCCAATATGTATTGTTATTTAGGTAATTATGAAGAATGCTAGCTTCAGAACTGTTTGTCCTTCAGTGCTAACTACTGAAACTGAAATATGTTTTAAGAGACAGGTGTGGCCAGGCGGTGATGTGGTTGGAAGCCACTGTTCCTTCCTTCCTGGCTGTTCAGACCCCAGATAATCTCACAGAAACTATATTATTTGCAATATTGTTTGACCAATAGCTTAAGTGTATTTCTAACTAGCTCTTATATCCTAAAGTAACCCATTTTCATTAATCTGTGCATCACCACGAGGTCATAGCCTACCGGCAAAGTTCTACGGGTTTTGGCAGACGCGTCTGTCTTCTGTGGCAGCTACATGGCTTCTTCCTGACTCTGCCTACTCTCTCTGTATATCTCTTTCAGCCTGGCTTTACTCCTTTAAGCCATTGGCCCATAGCACCTTTATTAACCAATGGCAATAAAACATTCACAGCATACATCACCTTCCATGTCAGTGGTGTTGCACACCTGTAATCCCAGTACTTGGGAGGCAGAGAAAGGCAGATCTCTGAGTCCAAGGTCAGCCTTTAGTTCCAGGACAGGCTCCAAAGCGACAGAGAAATCCTGTCTTGAATACCGAAAGAAAGAAAAAAAAGAGGAGAGAGAGATAAGTATATCAGCATTTGAAATATGGGAATTTGACATCATTTGTAAAGGAGAGTTAGGAACTTCTTTTTTATATTTGCTCTGTTTTATTTGAAGAGTTGTCTTAGTAAAGGTGTTATTAAAATAATGGTTTGAGTATTTCAGTATGTTGATTTGGATTTTATATCTTATTAGATAAAGTCAAACCTAAAGCCAAAAGGAAAGAAGAACCAAGCTCTATTTTTCAGAGACAGCGTGTGGATGCGTTACTTGTTGACCTCAGACAAAAGTTCCCACCCAGATTTGTTCAGGTAATGAGAATGTGTTATGAATTTTGATTTGACACATTTTTAATTGGAAAGTCTTTAAGGTGTAATTTAAAAGTATTGTTTTTTTTTATTAGCAAAAGAAATTACCCCTGAAGGAATTGTTTAAAAAAAGACTTAATGGAGGTAATGAGTAAAAGGAATGCATTTAGCATTGTTCTCTATTCCTTATTGAATCTATATGAGCATTGAGGTCTGTGTTTAGATCATATTCTCATCCATAAGGTTGCTGAAAGAATAATCGGTTGTAACAAACCTCGAATATGAAACCCATGCTCTCTATTCTGCTTGCTGCATTCCCAGCCTAATATATATCTCATGTAGGCTCTTAAAGGTTAATAGATTAAGACTCTGAGTGGAAGGAATAGAAAGTGGTAGAGGGTTTGGCATGGTCAGGAGAGGAAGCGGGGAGTAGTAATAGAGTTCTCCTATCACTGTGTTAAAAGTTTGCACTGCCACTTAGTGACTTAGAAGTAGTCTAGCAGCAGATCCACCTGCCATTCTACCACGTGAGCTTTTGAAGTGAAGCAACTGAGAAATGGAATGCATGGGCATGTTAATGTCAGTTATTCTGGAATTTAGAATTCCTTTGTGGAATTGCTATGTGATAGTGAAGTAGTGAAGAGGCACAGGTTGGAATATGAGATCAGAAAGTTAGCTTGGAGAATTTTTTTTTTTTTTTTTGGTCTTTTGAGACAGGGTTTCTCTGTAGCTTTGGAACCTGTCCTGGAACTAGCTCTTGTAGACCAGGCTGGCCTCGAACTCACAAAGATCCACCTGCCTCTGCCTCCCGACTGCTGGGATTAAAGGCATGCGCCACCACTGCCCAGCTACCTTGGAGAAATTTCATAAACTGTTCATGAAGGTAGAATAAGGGAAACATGAGTTAGAGCTGTGTGGTGTGTGCTGGGAAGCTGCTCTGGGCTGTTTTTGAGATGAGGTGTGCTGGTCATTTATTCTGTGATTACACCATATCTCCTGCATAGCCTCAGGGAAGAATATCTAGATTTGCATTGTCCAGTACATTAACCGCCAGACACAAGCGGCTCATGAGCCCTGCGTGCACAGCTCATTCAGGTTGAGTTGTGATGTAAGTATATAACACATTTTTGGCTTTTTGAGATAGGGTTTCTGTGTATCTTTGTTCTGAAACTCACTCTGTAGACCAAGCTGTCCTTGAACTCATAGAGATCTTCCTGTCTCTTCTTCCCAAGGGCTGGGATTAAAGGTTTATGCCACCATGCCTTGAACTCACAGAGGTCTGCTTGCCTCTGCCTCCCAAGTGTTGCGATTAAAGGTGTGTGCCACCACACCCAACTATTCTTTCTTTTTTATTTTAAGGATTTTAACTTTTTTCTTTTCTCTCCCAAGCCTGCATATATTTTTTAACACACTGTAAACCATTTAGAGGTTTTCTTCGTCTTTGAATGTCTTTACTGTATATCTCTTTTTTTGACCATATGAGTCTTTAATTTGTTAAGCAATATTGCTGGGATTAAAGCCATGGCTTTGATGGCTGAATCCAGCCCATTTCTTAGCTTTCTGAGATTCCAGCCTCATGGTGGAGGTACCGGCTGTAGCAATAATGTTTATTGCTACAGCTCTATGTTGTCTCAAGGTCTATGCTGTCACCAAGAAGCATGCTGGAGGCTATTCATAAACACCATTTAAGTGTTTTGTAGCAGAGCTTCTTAAAAGGGCTGCAAAGTTTTTGCAGCTAAAGCTGAATCAGGAAGCCTCTCTTAAATGAGAGCGCTTGCCTCTAGCAAGCAGAGCCCACCTGAGAAAATGCTACTATCAATAAGCGATGCCTAACTCTATTCTTTTCTGTCTAGAATTACTTCCCGAGCATTCTCAGGCTTTATGTGAATGTAGTTGTCCACACATTGGGCACTGTTCTGTTGTCTGAGTTTTTCTGTCCTGCTCAGTTCCCACAATCATTAAGTCTCAACGAAATCACACAGAGGTCTACATTAGTTATAAACTGATTGGCCCATTAGCTCAGGATTCTTATTAACTCTTATAACCTATATTAGCCCATTATTCTTGTCTATGTTAGTCATGTGGCTTGGTACCTTTTTCGGCAAGGCAGTCACATCTTGCTTGCTCTGTGACTGGGTCACAACTGCAGAATGTGCTTCCCTCTTTCTAGAATTCTCATTGCCCTGCCTCTACTTCCTACCTGGTCACCCTGCTTATACTTCCTGCCTGGCTACTGGCCAATCAGCACTTATTTAAAATATAAGTGACAGGGTACAGACCATTGTCCCACAGCACAGCAATAATAGACTTCCTAAGATCATTTTTTTTTAAATTATTTTTTATTTTTGTTTTTTTCTAGGAAGTCTTTAATTTTTTTAAAATTTTTTCCTTGATGGTTTAATTGAATACTGTTGGTGAATACTTGGTGGTTTAATTGAATACTGTTCAATTTTCATGAGTTTGTAGGCTTTCTGCAGTTAGTGCTGTCATTAAATTTTACCTTTAAACCATGGTGATCTGATAAGATACAGGGAGTTATTCCTATTTTTTGTTGTTGTTGAGGTTTGCTTTGTTACCAAGTATGTGATCAGTTTTAGAGAAGGTTCCATGAGGTGCTGAGGTTTATTCTTTTGTCTTGAGTGGAATGTTCTATAGATGTCTGTTAAGTCTATTTTAGTCATGACATTCGTTAGTTCTCTTATTTTCTGTTAAGTTTCTGCCTGACTGACCTGTCCATTGAGGAGAGAGAGTGTGGTATTGAAGTCTCCTGTTATTGGTGTGTGGGGTTTGATTTGTGATTTAAACTTTAGTAATGTTTCTTTTACATATGTGAGTGCTCTTGTATTTGAGGCAAATACAAGAAAAAAAATATGAAGTGTTCTTCATCTCTTCTGATTGATTTTAGTTTGAAGTCTGTTTTGTTAGATATTAGGATAGATACATCACTTGTTTCTTAGGTCCATCCAGCAGTACCACTCTTGGGCATATACCCAAAGAGTGCTTAATCATAATACAAGGACATTTGTTCAGCTATATTCATAGCAGCATTATTCATAATAGCCAGAACCTGGAAACAATCTAGATGCCCCTCAACAGCAGAATGGATAAAGAAAATGTGATACATTTTCATAATGGAGTAGTATTCAGCGGTAAAAAAACAATGACATCTTGAAATTTGCATGCAAATGGATGGAACTAGAAAAAAAAATCCTGATTAACATTACTTAGACCCAGAAAGATGAGCATGGTGTGTACTCATAAGTGAATACTAACTGTGAAGCAAAGGATAACGAGCCTATAGTCTGTGATCCTAGGGAAGCTAAGTAACCCTAAGAAAAACATACATAGATCCACCTGGAAAGGGAAAATAGATAAGATTCCCTAATGAATGAGCATGAAGGTGTGGGGGAAAAGGGAGGGCGGAAGAGGAGGAGAAGGGGAGGGAGGAGGAGAACTTGAGGGAACATGATAGACAAGATAGAGGAAGGACAGATATGAGAGCAAGGGAAGGTATTTTGATTGAGGGAGCCATTATGGCGCTAGCAAGAAACCTGGCACTAAAGAAATTCCCAGGAATCCACAAATATGACCCAGCTAAGACCCTAATCTATACAGGAGAGGGTGGCCAAACTGGCCTTGCCCTGTAGTCAGCGTGATGAATATCTTAAATGTCACCATAGAACCGTCATCCAGCAATTGATGGAAACAGAGGTGGAGACCTGCAGCAGAGCACTGGACTGAGCTCCCAAAGTCCAGTTGAAGAGTGGGGGGGGGGGGTGAGAATATCAGCAAAGAGGTCAAGACCATGATGGGGACACCCACTGAAACAGTTTATCTGAGTTAATGGGAGCTCACCAATTCCAGCTGGACATGGAAAGAGCCAGCACAGGACCAAACTAGTACCTCTGAATGTGGCTGACAGTTGTACGGAGGAGGCAGACTGAGGGGCCACTGGCAGTGGCACTGGGATTTATCCCTACTGCTTGTACTGATTTTTTGGGAACCCATTCTCTCTTTGGATGGATACCTTGCTCAGCCTAGATATAGTAGGGAGGGCCTTGGACCTTCCCTAAAGCAATGTGCCTTACCTTCTCTGAGGAGTGGATGGGGGGGTGGAGTAAATGAAAAAAGATAGCTTGCTTTCTTTTTTAAAAATAGAATTTTTTTTTAAATTATGTATTTGTATATAGTTTTGTGTACGTGAGCGCATTACTTAGAGGAGCCAGAAGAGGGTGCCTGATCCCCTTGAGTTGGAGTTCCATGCAGTTGTAAGCTGTCCCTGTGTGGGTGCCTGGAACCAGATTTTGGTCCTCTGCAACAGCAATACATGATCTTAAACCACTGATCCATCTGGACTGAACAGTTAAGAGCACGTGCTGCTTTTTTTTTTTTTTTTTTTTTTAAGAGGATCTGGGTTTTGTTTTCATCACTCACTTAAACAGCTCACAACCATCTGTAACTTTAGTTCTAAAGGATTTTACCTCCTCTTCTGGCTTCCTTGGGCACCAGGCATGTACACAGTATACAGATATATAAAAAATAAAATAAAAGTAAAAATAAAAATCAATCCATCAATCTTTTAAATAAATTTTTGGAGGAATGAAAAAGTTTTTTTTCTGAGTTCCCATGCCTGCCATACTTAAAATCAAAGGGTTTATCCTTGGAACTCACTATGTAGACCAGGCTGGCCTCAAATTCACAGAGGTCTGCCTACCTCTGTCTCCCAAGTCCTGGCTTCATTCTCCTTTTTTACAGTCCGTACTCTCCAAGCAGGGAAGTCTCTGAAGGTTTGCTGGTTCTCAGTTCTTCTCATTCGATTCTACGTGACTGGTCTCTTTATTGTAGACTTTGTGGGAAGGCACATAGCTTGTTAGATGTACATCATTTTTGTGGCTGACTTCTGATTTTGATTTGTGTCTTTTTTTTGAAATGAAGAGTAGAAAATGGCACACTTTTTATGGTGCATGACCATAAAATGATAATTGTTCTTTATGAAGTCATTTTACAATGCAGTTACATAAGTATGTCGTTTAAGACTATACAATTCAGAAGAGACATTAACTTGACTTTTTCTTCTCCTTCCCCCATTTCCTGTTTTTCAAATCCTAGCAAAAGTCTGGAGAAAAGCCTGTCCCAGGTATGGTTCATCTGCTATTCTTACTAAACTTGAAGTAGGATCAAGCAGCCTGTGTGATGTTCTAACAGCAACTGCATGTGAGATGAGCTGTGGCTACTTTGACTTTTCAGGCTGTTCCATTATTGTTCGTCACCCTAACCTTTGAACTCCTTTGAATTGCTAGCACTTAGTGTTTCTGTGGTAGCGATGCTAGCATTTAAAAGTAGAGTTTAGGTAGAAGGGGAGGGGGAAAAAGCCACAGTGACTTGATGGTAGGTTTCATCATTAAGAACAGGTGTTGAGCTGTCTGGTAGAGTCAGTTTTTGTGGCTTGTTCACATATGATGTCTTATTTTAATACCACATGTTTGCCTAGCATTATTTAATTAATATTTAGGCTTATAAATGAATTTTAAAATATGCTTGCCTGAGAAAACAACTAAGTATCCAACTTTATAAGCAATTCAAATGAATTTAAAAGAGTAAACCATAAGTACTAACCAGTGTTTAATTTTTTCTCCTTCCACCTTCGCTTTGTCAAAATACTGCTTTTGATGGCTAGTGGATCAGACAAAGAAAGAGGCAGAGCCTCTACCAGAAACTGTGAAATCCGAGGAGAAGGAGAGCACGAAGAATGCCCAGCAGACTGTGAGCACTAAAGGTCCCCCTGAGAAACGAATGAGACTTCAGTGAGTAGTGGACACGAAAGAAGCTGGCAAGCTCCTTGTCAGTCACTATACCTCAGCACCGTGGGAGGCTCTCGCGTCTTACAACACTATCGCAGCCCTCTCGTGTGTGGAGCACTTGTTCTATCCAAAAGGACCTTCTCCCTCCCAGGATTTCTATGTGAATATTTCTTACGTATCTTTCGTAACCTTTCCTCTATTGGACATGGGCAATGCACCTAACTCACAGATATACCAATATATATCCTTAAAAACAATAAAGTTATTTGTATATATTCCTCATCATGCCTTTTCCTTGTCTCTGAGAGGATAAATGTCAGTGCAGTAACTGAGCATGCCTTGTATTTGGATATTGCTCTGTATTACAATAATATATTTACTGAATAATGGAGAGGTAAAGGAAAGCACTCGATCATTGATATCATCCCATGGACTCTTATCAGTTTGCTTTGTTTTCTTTTTTAAATAGTTTTCTCACATGTTTTTCTTTATTGTGTTATTCTGATATGAGCACTTGCCGATGTTTATTAGTATATTGAATGTTATTACCGAGATTTATAGCTCAGTTTTCTTAAATACTTCTGTGCTGGAGTTTTCCCAGTTTTCTGTATTTTATATAAGGCTGCAGTGACCTCGTTTGTGTTATAGTACCGTATGCGTGGTCCGTAGAACTGGGTCACTGCACCCTCCACATCCTTGGGGCTCTTATTTTGTCTTGTCGGGTTGTTTTCTTCCAAGAATGTGGTCCTTAGTTCATCATTTAAGAACAAAGTGTGAAGTGCTGTGTTCTTCAGTCTCTCTCACCAAGTTTGTCACTTAGATATTCTACTGCTAGTTAAGCCGCAGAAAGTGTCTTATTGTTTAAAGTGGCAAGACAAATTTCATGTTTTTGTTTCTGCTTTTTTGAAGCATTTGGTTTTCTGTGAGATGTTTGTTCTTTCTCTTAGTTTTGATACAGTCTCAGATGTACAGGGAAGTTGTAAAACAAGAACAGAGCTCCTTTATATACCAACCCCTCATGTGTAACGCTTGTGTTTCCTGCCCACTTCCTGTCTGTTGTTACTTCTCTGTGTGCCTGTGTGGTATTCATGCACATTTATATCCTTTTTAATTTTTTATTCTTTTTTATTTTTATTTTTTAATATTTACTTATTTATTATATATACAATATTCTATCTATATGCCTGCAGGCCAGAAGAGGGCACCAGACCCCATACAGATGGTTGTGAGCCACCATGTGGTTGCTGGGAATTGAACTCAGGACCTTTGGAAGAGCAGGCAGTGCTCTTAACCTCTGAGCCATCTCTCCAGCCCTCCCTTTTATTTTTGATTCATTTATAGTCATGCCGCTATGCTTTGGATATAAAGTGTCTTTCCTAAAGTGTCATGTATTGAAAGTTTTGTCCCTAACTGATGGTACTATATTGGAAGGTTCTGGAAAAGAGCTTGAGGTGAGGTCTAGATGGAAGGAGTAGGTCTCTGGGGGCAGGTTCCTCAGGGATCTACTTGCTCCAGCTTTACTTGTATCCCTCCTGCCCGTTTTCCTCTACCCTGAGATGAAGGTGCTCTTCCTCTCTATGTTTCCATTGCTTGCACAGTTCTCTTGAAGTACTTTGGTTATAGCAGTGAGAAAAATAGAAAACATATATGCCCATTTCTCCAAGTACTTTAGTATGTTTTCCCCCCAAAATCAATATTTTATGTGGTACAATTATGAAACTTAAACTAACGTTAATAAATTCAACTATCTATCTGTAGGTCTTATTCTGATCTTCTCCATAGCACCAATAATGTTATTTACAGCAAAACAAAATTCTAATTGCCATATCTTTTAGTTGCCTGCTTCTTCCATCGTGACTCATCTTTTAAGCTTGCTTGCTTTTCTCTTTCCCTCTCTCCTCCCTCCCTCCCTCCCTCCCTCCCTTCCTTATTTCCTTCTTTCTTTTCTTTTTTTCTTGATGGTCATGGGGATTGAGCCTAGAGCCTCTGAATGCTGCATAAGCACTCTACCACTGTCTACTTCCCAGCCCTAAGGGTTTTGTTTTTCATGAGCTCAATATTTAAAGAGTATAGGCCAGTTATTTTGTCTAGTGACTGTGTGCAATATATTCCTATTTAGTTCATACCTGTTCTACAGAAGTTCCACAGGAAAGATGTTTTGTGCCATGTGCCACCCATCTGTCTCAGAATAATGTTGATCACTTAGTTAAGGGCAAGTTCATCAGGTTACTCCACTACACATCTCCATTTATACATTATATTTTTATTTGTGTTTGAATTAGTGGATTTTGATATCTGCATGTGTGTGCACTTTTGTGTTCAGGTAAGTGTACCCATGTGCAAAACAGGCTGTCTTCTGTACTGTTCTTCATTATTCCCTTGAGATGGGAAGCTTGCTAAGGTTGTTTGACTAGGCTGACTGACCTCAAGCTCCAGGGCCTACCACCCCACCTTTTCCTGCAATGCTGGGGTTACAGGCATACACTCATATTTAGCCATACTTAACATTTATGTGGGTGCTGAGGGTTTGAACTCAGGCCATCATACTTGCTAAGCAAGTGTTCTATCCAGAGTCATCTTTCCAACCCCTTTAAGTTATATTGAGAGGTTTTGTAAATAATTCTTGTTATTCATCAACCATCTAGCCACAAGTTAGCCTTTTGTGGAAGTTCTTACCTTTTTTCTAGGATGGAACCTAAGTGACTTTGTAATCTTTGTTGGTTTTCTGCTATAAATAGCCTCTTCAGCGCTATGCTATTATTGGGAATCTTTTGGAGCCCATACTTTGCTCTAAAGCTGTGTCACTTTAGCCTCTGGGAGCTGATCCCTGAGATTTCTGCTGTGCAAGTTCGCACTGGGAGCTTTCCTCACTTTGTAGCACAGTAAGATGTTTATTATCTTTTCATCCCAACCTTGAGAACAGCCCTTTCTCGAAGGAGATACATTGTTTGGAGACTAGCATTGGAAATCATGATGTATGTTTGTTGCTACTGGAGTTTCACTGCTAGGCCTCAGATGACAAGACATGCACACATATGCATATGAGACACATTTAGAAAAAGCATATTCGTACATACATTGATAGCTGTCTATTCAGAGTGGATTAAAAGCTAGCATCAGTTCACACTCCAAAGATTTGGTACTTTTCCTCAAGACTTTACTCTTTTTTATTCTTTTTTTTTTTTTTTTTAAATAATGCCTCATGCATCACAGACTGACTTCAGACTAGCTAAAGATGACCTTGAGTGTATGTGGTGTTACAGATTGTACCCTGGGCCATGATGCTGGGCAAGCCCTCTAAATGAGCTCCACCCTGGCTCTGCCTCTCTTTTGTATTGATGAGAGGAGCTCTGGCTGCCATGAAGTGTGATACGTTTATTTGCTTAACCCTAGGAGGTTTTACAGTCGGTAACCTGTACCTCTGTAAAAAGCCTCTACCTGGCATTCATTATCGGCTTACAGTGATTTTGCTCTTCAGCATAGTTCAGTGCTGTGAGACGGATATAACCTGTGTTAATTGCCCCAAATTTTTATTTTTATTTTTTGTTCGAGAATTCCATACCTGCATATGTTTTGACCAAATCCAGCCTTCCTTCCTTCTAAGTTCTTCCCTACTCCCCATCCCCCTCCTCTTTTCCTTCACAACTTATGTGTGGATTTAAAGCCTACTACACAAGACAGAACTTAGGTCTGGAACCACTAACTGGGTCAAAACCCCATGACTGACTAGGCCCTAGGGCAGTATCTAATACTATTCTACTAAGTGCGCATAGTAATAAACTTTTCTATAAATTCTTATCTTTAACCATAGATTAGTGGACCTCCCAACCCCCATCATCGAAGCTTCTTTTTACAGTAGGTGAACATGAATACAAAGACTCACAGCTGGTCAAGTACAGAGACTTACGAGACCGGGTTAATTCTTCACTGGGTTACTTACCATTTAGTTTTCCCCCTTCTCTCCATTCTTACAGATTTCTATCTTGTTTTGTTTTGGGGTTTGTGTGTGCCATGTCAGCATAGTTCTAATAGGTTTTTCCACACCTCTTTTGTTTCTCATGTATTTCTACCCTTCTGCCTCATCTCTACTTACCTAACAGTAAGTCTTGTGATCAGAGTATTTTAGTCAGGGTTCTCCAGAGGAACATATTATATATACATATTACATATGAACACACAGCACATATGTATGGTCTGCTTTAAAAATGATAACTGCTAAATCACTGAGAAGCTGGGAAACCTGTAAACTTGGTCCTTGAGGCTGGGCACCTTGATAAAGTAGTTCCAAGCTAGCTGTGTCTTGCCAGGGATTGGAGGCTAACAACAGGTTACTCAATCCACAGAGCAGGGCACTTCAGAAGTCCTAATCTGACACCAGAAACCGGGAAGGTCCCTGGAGAGTTGCTGATAGCTAGTCCACAATGAGATCTTGGAAGTGCTGCTCCATCAGTGATGGAATCAGCAACAGGAGTAGCGCCATGACAAACTTCATGGCAAGTGAGAAAGGCAAATAAACAAAAGATGGTCAGTCTCCTTGCCAACTTTGATCTTTGATCTGGGCTGCTACCAAAAGGTAGACCTTGCCCTATCAAGGCAGCCACGACAGTTCTTTAGGTGAGGCTCCCTACTCCGATGATGCTAATTTTTGGTGACTTGATATTAAAACCAACCATCTCAGGATGCATATTCTCCAAAAGGCCCATATGTAAGGTCTTAGTCACTAGTATTACCCTGATAGCAAAACCAGAAAAAGACTTGCTTTTATCCTAACCCAAAATACGTATATGCCAATATCTCCAATGAACAGAGCTGCAAGAATTTTCAATATAGTACTTGCCAACAGAATTCAAGAACACATCAAAAAGATTCTCCATGATCAAGTCGGATTCATTCTAGCGATGGAGGGATGGATCAGCATACATAAGTCAAGAAATGTACTCCACATACTGACGAAAAACCAAACCACATCTTCATCTTATTAGATGCAGAAAAACTATTTTGAAAACGTGTCTTAATTTCTTTATAATACTTTCTATGTGTACAGTATTTTGGACTAAAGGTTTTTCTTTTTCTTTTTCGATTGTTTCAGAGTTTTGAATATGTCATCCATTGCTCCCTGGCCTAAGTGTCTGCTGAGAGATTTGCTGTAGTGCAGCAGCAGTTGCCTTAAATGTGGCTGGCATTCTTGCTGTAAGAATTCTCTCTGTGCTGCACATGTTCAGCAGGTTTGCTGTGGCTTGGTGGGGGAGGCTCTGGTTACGTCAGCCTGGGTCTGGTAAACC